ACATCTTAAATGCGGTACAATTTAAGCGGGCGGCAACAAATCATAAAAAAGTTTCAACAAGTCACGCATTTAATTAAAAGCAACCCTGTTCTTGTTCTACATATACAAATTCCCCGTATCCCTCCCTCCCTCCGCCCCTTAAGCCAACGAACTTACGATTTTATCGCGGAACTGGTGCGTTAATGTTTATGGATTATGACGCGAAAGCCGCAAACCACCTTCCCAGTTTCCGCCCAAAAGTCCCACTGTCGTTGCGATTATAAGAACTGCCATTTGCATTTAATTATTAAATGCTGCGCTGTGCGAAATGGTTACTTCATTGTGTGTGTGCGTGTGTGTGTGTGTGTGTGTGTGTGTGTGTGTGTGTGCGTGAGTGTGTATATATGTTTTGCTGGCCTCATTATACTTGCCCTTATATAATGCGGCTTGCAGCTTTTAGCCTGCCCCACGAGAGTCAACGAAAGTTTTTGTGGCAACTTCAATGCCACATTACCAATTGCCTCGAGAATTTCTTTAGCGATACTTTCGAAGAGCTACCACCACCCCCAACGCCAACAATCCACACCACCCGCCACTCAACAACGTCTTAGTGCAACTTTAGTCAAATTCCCTAAACCAATGCAATATTCGATCTAATCTTTGGCTTCCTCTTTTTTTGGCACGTGGAGCAGAAAGTGCACTTAAAAGTTAGTCAAACTGAACGCAAACTTTTCAATTAACTGCCAATTAATTTGAACTTCCAGTACATCCACACACACACACACACACATCCACACACACACATACACAACCGCGAAAGTTGCCAGCCAGTCAGCTAAGAAAATTCGTTTACAAAATAAGCGAAAAAACCCATCAATAAGATTAAAATTCGCTTGGCTTTTGTGTGCAGCCAACTGATTGAAAATTTGACTGAGCGATGAATGGGAATAGAATTTGGAATGGTTGTAACAGGCTAACTTTGAATGTACGTCAAACTTAATGCACTTACATATTTTCTATATATATTTCTTCTATATATATATATATATACTATATTTCTTTACAATTTCCAATAACCGATCAATTACATTTAATAAATACACAAATAGCAATAAAAATTAAGCAGAAAATCAAATCAGCGAGCCTAAGAATGGTGCTCGAAAACGTTGCTGAGTAAAATATAATCAAAATCAAGCCATAATATCAGTTAGTTGCACACCCGAGGACACTTAGGAAATTCAATTTTCAATAGAAGCCTTGTTGCACTTGCCTGAAGGCCTAACAAATACGAGACGCTTGCAACACAAAATATAATGTGCCTTATTAAAGGAATAATCCTGTTTCATTTGACTACTGATGTCCATAAATCAAAGCACTCGACTGCGATGTCCAAATCATTATTGTTTATTAGTTGCCATGGTAATCGCTTCCATTAAGCCTTAGAAAGCAATGATGATTTGGCCAAAATATGGTTGCTAGCCATTCAACCGATCAAATATTTTAACAATGAAATGAATGACCAGCTGAGTACTAAGTAGAGCTCGTGCCTACTGACTGTTGAAATTGTTTATTATGTGCAAAAATATTTCATAATATTTCACATGCATCTATTACACAGGTAAATTTTGTTGGTATTGTTGGTATTGAGTCATGAGTGCTGCCTGTTTGCATTATTTGATTACCATATACCCAAAAGTTGGCACACTCACAAAGCACTGATATTCTGTTATGCAAATGGAATAAATCAATGGAAAAATGTATTGCACAATAGTGCCGACATTTTTGGAATATTAAGCTGCAGCAGTTGAAAGTGATTCGATTAAGTCACAGGACAAAATAAGTCCTCGCAAATCGTTAGATTTCTCGTATAACCAAATTTGTTTCACACATTTTTTATTCCTTGAAATTGCTCAGCTCAATATGCAGCCACGTTTTTATGGTGCATTTTGCGAATGCAAATCGACTATTGAGAAAATAGGTGGAAATTGCAATTGCAATTGCAATTGCAGCTTAAACGTATTTCTATTGACATTCGGATGCTGTCTGCGTTATACGGCCAGCACCGCAACATTTGTGTGTCGACCTTGCCGCTGAGCAGTGTGCAAACCTCTCTTTCACTTTATGCTATTTGAACAGTCAACACACACTAAATCACACTTATATAGCAACAACGTTTGGTACGCGCTTGCGAGTGTCAAACATCGATTTGCGGGTTGGGCTTACAAATAAGCAGGAGACAGCGCAATGTTGACACACCAGTAGCAGCTGCTGTTGCACCATCACAAGCAGCAGGCTGGGTATACCAACATTTTCAATTTTGTTGCACGCTGTAAGCGTGTGTGTCTGGCTTAAATTTAATCCCCTGACCACCAATTTGTCACGGGGGTCATATCAACATTTTGATGATCTACCCATACACTCAGACACACACACACACACACACACACATCCCAAAGACTGGCAACCCTTTCCTAAACCCCCATAACATAAAACATTTACGCAATTTATATTGAAGCCGAGCAAAATATAACAGCCAGGGACCAATTTTCCATCGAGTTTCGGCACAAAAAAGCGACACAAGAAGTTGGTGCTTCACACAACTTCAGTTAGGAGTCAGTCACGTATATCCATGCAGCTTGCAGAGCAACAAAATTCACTCACACATTCTGTTCGATAAAACCCAGCTGAAATTGTGCTTGCCACAAAATATGTGCTTGCAGTTGGATCTATCCAGAACGTAGTTTCCTAATTGACAACTATATTTATTCGTTTTTATTGAAATACACTTGGCTTTGCTCAAACAATTTTTGAAATTCACATTTCCACTTTTCTACAGTTTTCTCATAAAGATAAATTCTGCACCTCAAAACTTATGCAATGAAATTTGTTAAATTTTTGTAGTCATGAAAATGCTTTAGTTGTCAAGTTTTCATAGACTTAATACACTTTCACTTTATACACAGACCAATTCATGGACAAGTCGCAAAGTCAACAATTATTTTCATTCTAATATAGACCAATTAAGTAGAGCTTTTAAACTCCAGGGGCATGCCGGAACTGATTTAATCATAAAATTCATTAACTTGCTTTATTATCCAATCAACCTCCTCACATTCCACCCCCTTCCACACTCTTTGTCACATTTGCTTACCTAAACTTCGCTTGACTGTGCCACGTGGCTTGCTGCTATTGAGAGTGACGGCAATTGTTGCCGTTGTCTTTGGCTTTAGTTTGGGCGCCAGCGGCGCCATTGGCTTCTGCTGTTTGGCCAGCTGCGGCGGGGGCGGGAGCAGCAGCTGCTGTTGATGCTGCTCCTGTGTGGCACTGGGCAGCGCCGATGTGGAGACCGATGTGCTCGATCGCTTATAGCCCTCGGTGAGGAAAGCGGGCGGCGGTGTTATCGGCGGTGCCGGTATGAAAAACTGCTCATCCACCGGTGAACTGGCCGCGGTGCTGGGCGCCGTTATCGATTCACGTAGCCTGAGACCGCCTGGCTTTAGAGTCATGGTGGTTTGACTGGAACCGCTGGCGGCTGCGGCGGCGGCGGCAGCGGCGCTGCTATGCTGGCTGCTGCTCTCATTGCAATAGAGCTCCAAATGATGTTTGTCGCAGCGTCGCCGCCGTCGAATATTCGGCGCAATTGTCTTCATTTTGGGTCCATGTGCCGACGAGGCTATCCCAGCCGCCAATCGGCTCGAGGACGAGTTGGAGCTGCTGCCGTCTTTCGAATTGATACGTATATAGTGCACCCTGAAAATGCGTACAGGTTTCGCTTGTTGTTGTTGTTGCTGCTGCTGCTGTTGTTGTTGTTGTTGCTTTTGTAATTGGTGTTGCTGTAGATACTCCTTGTAGGATTGTTTGCGATGTGGCTGATGGCTATGGCTGCACGTAGATTCGTATTGCAGCATTGATTAGCCGAATCTTGGCAATTTTCTGTTTATCAATATATGTATATATATATATTAAATAAATATATATATATATGTAGTTGCAATTTGATTTGTATAGTTATATATTGTATATATTAATATTAATATGTCTATCGTATATTTTATAGAAAATAGTAACTTTATATATGTGTATATATATTTATTTGTTTTTTTCTTTTGGTTTTAATTAGTTTGCATTAAAATGGAAGCTGTCAATTGCTGCGTTTGTAACTTTGTTTGCTTTGTATTTGTATAATGTTGCTGTCTCTGTTTCTCCTGCTGCTACTGTCTATCTCTCTCTCTCTCGCTCTCTCTCTTGCACAGACACACACTTTGGTTATTGGTTGGCTTTATGTCTGTTCACAAATATTTGCTTAGTTTGATATTTGGCTGTGTGTATTATTTGCACACGTTTTGCATAACAAATATTGCTAAATATTTAAATTTCGATTTATATCGGTTTAAATGTATTTGCCGTTGATGTTGCACATTCAATAACTTTTAGTTGTAGTTGCACATAATTGTTGAACATATTCATATATATATATATATATATACATATATATATCAGTTCGTATATGCATATATTAAAAATATGTTTTGTTATATTTATATATTGACAACATGAATTCGAAGCGTTTGTTAATTATTTATTTTTTTATAGTAATATATATATATTCGACTTGTTTTTTTTTGTTGTATGTTGTATATTGTAGCATAAATATTTGCGTTTTAATTAACTATTTGAAAATCAACTCACATCAATGTATTGAAAGCCTCTTTAACGCACGTCTTTTGTTAGCTTTTATATATATATATTATAGTATATAAATATATGTATATGTATATATGTAAATATATATAATATTTCTGTATATATTATTGAGTAATTATCTTATATCATTCACCAGCGAAGCGTAGAACCTAATTTTTTTTGGTTGTTGTTCATTTAAAATTCATTAAAATCGTAGTTTGTTGTTGTTGTTGTTGTTTTTTTTTTTTTTTTTTGTATTGTAGATTTCACTTGAAGCAGGAAACAATTTTTTGTTGTTGTTTTCTTTTTAGTAACTTAGTAACTTTCTTCTTTTTTTGTTGTTGTTTGCCTTTCTCATAGAAAATGTTAACACGACTTTTCTGTTGCCTCCTGTAAATTGAGCGTGTCCTTTAATTAACTTGAGTTCTCTTCATGGCCTGCCAATAAATTAGGCTGCCAAATGTATTATTGGCAGGCCATGAATGCAAATTTGGCACTCTCAAAAAAACTTTCAAGCAGCTGTTTCGATATGTTTGTGTGTGTGTGTGTGTGTGTTTGTGTGTGCTTGTGCCACGCCTCTTCTGGTATTAGCATTGCTAATCAAAGAAATGCCGCAATGCTCATCATTATGTAAATGTTGATTTTTCATAAAATTAATGACTTGACAGCACATTGAGGCAGGCTCAAGTCTTTGGGCTCAACTCGCACTGAAACGGATGAAAGTTTATATTGATGGCAAGGCATTGATACATTGGCAGCTCCTTCCCTATTGATAGCATTGAAACGTGCCCAAAATATTCGATTTGATTTTACAACAAGTCATAAAAAGATCAAAAAAAAAAGAAGAAAAAACCCAAATGAAAATCGAAAAGAGAAATGGGCGTGCCAAGTGGGATAATTAAGCCAAATGGCAGGCCACAGGATCGATGTTAGCGGGCGTAATGTAATTTTGATGTTTTTGCTTGCTTTGTTGCTGGCCAAAAATTGAGTTTAGGCCAGGATACACATAAATACTTTTCCACATACACACGTTAATGTGTGTATGTCCAACTCAAGTGGGGAAAAGCCACATATGGCTCATCAAAAGAGGCATCAAAAGAGGCATCAAATGAGGCATCCAATCAGAAATTGCGTAACATATTTTCAATAACTTGTCAATCGGAATAAAATCGAGAAACGAAAAAAAGCAATTGAGAATACCCTGTAAATCGACTGTGATTAATCGACTGTTGAATAACTTTTTTTATATTCTTTTAGATTTATATACTTTCATTTTATTTATGAAATTCGGCTTAGACTAGAAACATTTCTAATTAATTTCTTTTATAAATATAATCAATACACTAACTCAAGCTCGAACTCAATAAAATTCTTTGCAATCCGTTGGATTCCAGGGTAAAAGAAGAAATGGCCATGCTTGTCATCGCCGCATGACAGCGCAGCAATCCACTTGGCATCTAGTGCAGGACAGCGCAAAAGAATTCCATTTGCCCGAGACCTGCGAACTGAGAGCTGAGAGCTCAGAGCTATCAAGTTGCGTTCGAAATAAGCCAATCAATTCAGTGTCAGATGAACTGCTTCATTAATTTCACTCGCAGAGCAACACAATGCTGCCCCTTTGCCTTGCCACGAACAGACCACTACTCTGACAGCGCAGGAATTATGAAGAACAGCCAGACAGACAGACAGACAAACACTGAAGTATCCAATAAACGACGCATGCCACAAAAGTCACGTAAGTCCCAAGGATGGGTGTATCAAAAAGGTTGCTGTGTGGGGGGATGGGGAAGCTGAGAAATAAGCCTACTTAGCTGTGCATGTGCCGCCTCAAGGATCCAACAGGATGTGCGGGCAGATGGCTGGATGCCCTGCCAGCATAGCCCAACTTATTATTTATGTAGAAAAAGGAAAGAAACAACCAAAAAATAAAAGCAAGAAAACTTTTTTGCGCTCTCAGGTGCGTATTTAAAAAAGCAACAACTCAATGGGAAGGGGAGAAAAGCGGCAACATTACTTCAAGAGCTATGGCTGTAAATAATAATTTTTAGCATGTTGATAGCATGAATTAAAGGGAGTCAGAGACAGAGAGAAAGAGAAAGAGAGGTGGAAAATGGAGCATCATAATGGCAGCTCGTTAGGCGTTATTTTGTTGGGGGGGGGGACTGGTACAGATTGACCAAATAGACACAGGATAATGGCAGGTAATAGCCTTAACAAATGCTCAAATCCTGAGATACGACTGCTTTTACACAGTGTGTGTACAAATGAGTGTGTGTGTGTGTGTGTATGTGTGTGGCAAAAACTGTCGATTCACTAATTGTAAAAGTTTAGGCTTCATGTCAGTCAATTTGCAAAGTCTCCGACAAGTTTTTGCCTGATTTGGCTATTTGTTTTGAATGTGCGCAAAGTCAAACTTGTAATTGAATACCAACTTCAATTGCTGAACATAATAGTGTATATATATATATATATATATATATATATATATATATGTATGTGTGCCACAAATTGAAATAAGTTGGCTTTGATGCTTATGCATAATTTGACACTATTTGAAAAGTACTCCAATTAGTTTAGATTGTTGTATTTGTGTTTGCAGCTAAATGGATTTTGCTGTGTGTTCAAATGAAATTATATAATCGTCAGCAGCATAACAAAGTAGTGCTAAATCAACATACAGACAAGTTTATACTCAAATTTAGATTTGGATTTTGATTGCAATTAAGCAGCTTAGATGAGAATATTCAGGCTAAGTAATCAAATGCTTTCCATCTGTAAAGATTGCCTTAACCAGTTTGTTTTGTGGCTAACTAATTTGAAACTGTATTCAAATGAATGTAAATTGATTTTAGTATGGAATTCAATTTACATTTCACATGCAACTTGAAGTGATTTCCAAATGGCATTGCACATGCAACGCAAAATAAAATTGCATTTAAGTTGATAAATTATTCTTGCTTTTTCACACGCAGTTGGCAATTTAAACCATGTTGCAACCGCCCAAAAATTAATTGATTGCATTAAGTACGCACAGTATCTTTCACAGCATACACACAGGCCAAATGACCTGTAAATACGTTGAGTGTATTTATGTGTGAATTAGTCATGTCATATGAATTCAATAAATTCCCCGCTAATGTGCGTTGGCACCTTGACTTTGTGGCTGTCTCTTTTTTTTCAATTTACAATCTGTGGCCACAGTCAATGCACTTTATGATGATGATAATGATGATGATGATGATATTGATGCTGATGATGATGTTGCTCAGTGGAGAGTGCTTCGCATACTTGGGGCAGAGAAAGAAAAAATGAAGAAGAAAATAAATGTGTTTTTGCCGCCAGTTGATGAAAAAAATAAAAAAAATGTTCGCTTTCATTCACGGCCAATGGCGAAATGTTCTTTTGGAGGCAAGATATTTTGTAAATATTTTGTTCTTGTGAGCTCTCATATTTTTTTTCTTGTGCTTTTGGTGTGGGCGTTGATTTACTTTTTATTGGACGACAACAGAAATCATAAACATTGGACACATCAATTCCAAAGCATAAATACAAAATGAGTATTACGCACACAAACACAAACACAAACACACAGAAACAACACAGCCGCGATGTGTTTAACAGCTCGTAAAAATCTATTTGAAATTAATCAAAGAAAATACAAACACGATCAAACATCTAACCAATTTGCGGGATGAAGGGAGGAAGGAACTGAATCAAAACGAAAAGAACAACGCGTCAAATTGTCTTTTGTATCACATCACATCAATTTCTTTATTCTCTTCTCTGTTTAATTTGGTATTTAATTTATCAACATTAACGGGCATTTGTTGCCTGTTTTATTTTATTGGTAATTTCTTGTTTTGTTTTTGTTTTTTATTTTTTGATTTGATTTAGCCAGTTTTCGATAGCTGCTGCTGCACGTTTTAGTCCACTGGTCGGTGAAATTTGCTGTTGCGGCAATTTTGCGGCCGACGCGTCTGAGATTTGCCAACAAACTGATGCGAAACGGATGCCGTCCAAATGCTTTTCATGACACTCGGCCACTCAAAAACAACACAACAGCAGCCAGCCAACCAAACAGCGACTGCGACGCCAACTGAGACACAGTGCCTCAGTGCCAGTGCCAGTGCCAGTGCCAGTGGCAGTGCCAAAGCCAGTGGTTGTGTCTGTGGCTGCGGCGCTGTGGCAGCAACTGATAAGCACAAGAGAGCTTTTTGCCAAAGATAAAGAGAGCGAGCGTCTCTCTCTCTCTCTCTCTCTCTCTCTCTCTCTCTCTTTCTGTTTGACATAGCTCAACATAACTCTCGTACAATGGCCACTTAACTCAACTATAAACTATGAACCATAAACAATTTAATGGCATATACAATGAAGCCATTAACTAATTATTTATGCCATGAAAAGATAAGTGGTAAAAGGCATATATTGTTTTGTAAACGTATTTCAACTAAGAATTGCGTTTTTGGGAGTACGTTGAGAAATTGTTGCTTATCACAAGTACAATATTTTATTTAATAGCTTTCAGTTAACTACAGTTTTCAGTGCGCCCAATAACAATAAAATCAACCAATATTGAATTAAAAACAATGCCCTTTAAAAGATTAAGAGGTTTCTAAAACAATCAGATTGATAGTTTTCCAAATAAATTGAAAAAAAAAGTAGATACAACATCTAAACCATATTTTATCAACTTATGGGGCAAGAATGAAAGGCTACTATCTGAATACTATTTAAATTTATATAAATAAATGCTTAGTATATATTATGAACTAATGCCCAACTGAACAACGAGCAAATAATAGTAATTACAATTATTTACAAATTTATTAATTAAAGAGAATATTTAAACAAAATTCTTAATTCTTTACAAATTCTACGCTGAACTGACTTTATTTTATTTTTATAGTTGCAAGTTTTAATGTTTGTAGCTCGAATAATATTTCAAATCTTAAAAGTTTTTCATCGTTTTTACTTCTTATCAAAAGCCTATTTTCAACGATTAACGGTTAAGTTAACGTGCCCGCTATTCAAAGAGTAGGTGACAAAATAACAAACAAAAAGCTCTGCCATTCTCTTTGCGCCTGAGCGAGCTTTCAACTGTCTCTCTCCTTCTCTCTCTCTGTCTTTCTCTCTCACTCTCTCTCTCTTTGTTTCTCTCTCTCTCGCTCAATCTCTCTTGCTTTCGCTGGCTATGTGTGCGATTTGTTTATGCTAGGCCTATTTGTTGTCCCGGCTACACTCACACCCACACACACACACATATTAAAATGCACTCTCTCTCCCACGCACACACACTCACACTCACACACGCTCACACACACACAAAGTGTTGTCCTTTTACTGTTTATGCATACAGTCTGATTGAAATCAGGCAAAAGCGGGAAGAATAATGATGAAGGGGCTGGTAGAGAAGGGGAACCTGTGGCTTGACGGGATTATGTGCGTCAATGCAGGAAATATTGTCATTGCCAGGGCCAACTATTTATCTCTATCTTTATCTGTGTATCTCTCCATTTCTCTCTCTCACTCTCTCTCTCTCTCTCTCTCTCTCTCTGTGTGTTTGTCTCTTTGCCTGTTGCATATTTTGCACAACATTTTGATGACAGCTGCGTGTGGCAAGAAAGTAAAAACTAGTTATAAACTTTAATTAGAAAATAGCAAAAGTAAAGATAATTAACAGGCAAAAGGAAATGAGAGGCACTCGAGAAAAATGCGTGCGAAAAAGGAAAAGCGCCGACTAAGAAAAAAGGCAATAAATTAGCAGCAGCAGCAGTGTGGGGGCAATCTTCATTAGAAACGCCCAGAAAAGCCAGACAATTGCTTTTGGAACCTTATATCTGATACCTTCTTTCCACCAACAACAACTACCACTCTCCCTTTCTTTATCTCTCTCGAACACTCTCGCTCTCTTTCTCTGTATCATCCTGTTCAATGTCGTCTGGAACCTTCATGTACTTGAGGAAACTAGAAAACTTTCCCTGTGACAGCAAAAAGTCATAACTTGAGCCCTCCTCCTGGCATCACTTTACATCCTTTTTTGGCGCGCTGTCTGTGGCATTGCCATGGTAACTTCCTGTGTGTCCCTGTAGTGCCACGTATTTCAATGCCAACTGCCGCATTGTCAACACTTCATTTCAGTTTTTGTCACAGTGTCTCTTTCTCTCTCTGTGTGTGTGTGTGTGTGGTAAACGTTTTTCAGTTTTGCAATCAGCTTGCCGTATTATGAGCACACCAAAGGAGAGGGGGTTATCAAAAGGATGTGTGCACGTCGGTCGAAGGTCGTCCTTTCAGTTGCAGCTAAAAATAACATTGCCCCCGAACTTATTGTGTCCCTGGCAATGATTGTAGTCGCATCTCGGCACGCAAAAGGACACGACCCAAGGAAATATGTGCATAAATTTAAGTACCTCAAATAAATTTATTCATGAAGCACATACTATGCATGTTTATATAGTTCTTTATTTCTTTTTTTGATTAGCAAAGGTAGTTTGTGGTCAAAAGATACGAAATTACTTTTGCTCATGCATATAAACTAATGTAAATGAGTCGATTGATCTCAAATTGGTTAAGTCAGCTACAAAAAATAAAGCATAAAAATGAAGTAATACATAATTAAGGTGGGTTCAATGATAACTGCTATAATAATGGTAAAGATTCTCATCACAAAATACGTAATATAATCGAAATCCATTCTCTTCCGAGAATCTTCGACAATCGTAACTTATCTGTATTGGTTTCCATATACCCTTGATAAAGTTCGAAGAAATATTGTTATCAACTTGCTGCATACCTAGTCCCTATGACATGATGAATATGTTTCTTATTTCATTTTCAGATGAATATGAAAACAAATACAGCGAAACCCATTCCACGCGGACTATGTATTTTGTCTTGCTGAGCAGCTGCAACTAATTCCAGCATATCTTAGAGCAAATACAGATGTACAAACATACACACTTTTATTAGCTATGCTGAGCGAATGCCAAATCGGCATCATGTGTACGACGAGCAGCACAACAAATAACTCAAGGCTAATCAAAATTAAGATAATGGCCAGCACATTATCAAGTTGCCAAGTTCATTGGGAACATAACACAACAACTGCGAGAGCAACGCGTGCAGGACCCCTTCAGGGTCAAATGAAATTGTTCATGTTGCCCCAGGAAAGAGCAGCAGCAGCAGCAGCAGCAGCAACAACAACAATCACAATGTGAAAAGGAAAAGAAATATATGAAAATAAAAATACAAATATTGTTTGTTTGTGTGTGGACCATGGTATAGCTTATGAGGTTTGCCTTAAGCACAGCACTCGTTAGAGTGAGACAGAGATAGAGAAAGAGAGAGAGAGAGAGAGATAGAGCAGCCAGTCAGCGAAAATGCAGGAGAAAGAATGGCGTCCTTCCGCTGTCCGTTGTTGTCAACATTGCTGTTGTTGTTGTTGCTACCGTTGCTGTTGCTGTTGTGGCATTGACAAGCCAAAAGCGATGGCAAACAATGGCAACACGCCGAACAACAACAAATAGACAGCAACAGACCACAGACAGCAACAACTACAACAAGGACAACAGCACAAAAAAAAAAACAAAAAAAAAAAAACGAAATAAATAAATAATAAAAAAAACAATCCGCAGGCCGCAAAGATGCCAAGGCAAATGAAAAATAAATAACAGCAATCGACGACAAAACAACGGCAAACGGACAGACATCAAATGGCTGCAATGCAATTGAACAAATTTTCGGCGCAAAACCAACAACAACAACAACAACAGAAGAAGGACAAATAGCAAAGATAAAATGCAAAAGTAAAAAAAAAAAAAACAAAACAGGAAAGAAAAAAATGAAACTTTGCTTACATAATCACAGAAAAGCAGGAGGCAAGAGACGTGGGCGGAGAGGGTGGATGGGAAGAGAGCGTCAGCGAGAGAAAGATTGCCAGCACGTGTTTGTCTCACAAGTTTGTGTTTGCATCTGTGTGTGTGTGTGTGTGTGTAAGTGTGTAAGTGTGTATATGTGTGTAAGTATGTGTAAGTGTGTGTATGTGTGTAAGTGTGTGTAAGTGTGTAAGTGTGTAAGTGTGTTTAAGTGTGTGTGTGTGCGTGTGAGCAGCCTGCGCCTTGAAGCTGAACTTGTGCTATTCAATGTTTTTACTTGAACTTGAATATATACAAGCGCACGCTCTCTCTCTCTCTCTTGCTCTCTCTCACACACGCACACACACACACAGATGAGCGCTCTCTCTCTCTCTCTCTCGTTTGTGTGACGCGCACGTGTTGAAAGCTTTCTGACTCCGCTGAGTGCTCGCTCTTCGACTCTCTTAAGGACGGGACGACAGTAACGGTTTTTTGGTTGGGCTTCATTAAAAATGCGAGTGACGCAAGTCATCAAATTTTAATGCAAGAGAGCGCAACGGCAACGGCAACAACAAATGAGCCATAACAAAGGACAAAACAGAATAACAACAACAACAACAACAATGAAGACAAACTATTTAGCATCATGATGATAATATCGGGCTATAACTTGAATGCTTTTTATGCAGCTAACAGGTTGCCCCCTAAAAGGCGGCAACACAAAAACAACAACCAAAACTTTGCAGAAGCGTACAAATTGGATAAATTTGTCTAGCCTAAAGTTTTGGACTGAGAGATACCCTATAATATATATGTATATTTTAGAAAATATATAAAATATTAGAAAGTCTATAGAATAACACAGCCAAACTAAAATATATAAATATAGCATCCTTCTTAGACTGAGAAATAAGTAAGTAAATCATTTTATATTTTAATCAATTGTTGGGTAAATAATATAGATATAAAAGTTCGACTAATGGTAGGAAATTGCAATAGAAAATTCAGAGAACTGAAATGTATTT